GTGCAGTTACCTTTGTAGTAATTATGTTAGATTTGAAATGTTTTCAAACCAGATAGTCATGATCAAGCAATGAGTTACTTCAAATTGTTGTCGTTTGCATCAGGTTTGCTCATAAAGTCTCTGCCTGTGAGTGGGAACTCCGGCCTGCCTTGAAAGGGCTGACAGGTTCCCTATCCCTTGTTTTCCAAGCTGTGCCATGAGTCTTTGATACATAAATGTCCAAATCAAACACAAATCAGCTGCAGAACAACCCCAGTTTACAGCCTGGCCATTAAAGGTCTGAAAAGAAGTTTCTGGCTTGCTCTAGAAATTGTGAAAAAGCTCAGCAGCTGATTCACAGACAACACTGAATATGTGGAGTAGACAGCTGTGCAACATAGGTGGAATAGACAGTGAGGGATGATAATCTTCTCAGCTGACCTACCTGTGATGCTTCACAGTCATGGTCAGAAGTCATCAGGGAAGTCAGGCTGTATTTTTCTAGGTACTTGGAAGTGTAATGTTTGACTTCAGCTGATGATATTCCACAGAATCACAGAATAGTTGAGGTTACTGGAAGGGACCTCAGGAGATCATCTAGTCCAACCCCCCTGCTCAAACAGGGTGACCTACAGCATGTTGCCCAGCGCTCAAAATGAGACTGTGTAGGGGTGGTATATCTACAAAGCGGTTTTTGGAGCACCTGAATATATTTTGTAAATGAATGTGCAATAGATTAGAGCCATAGAAAAATTTCAGGTGAAAGGGACCTCTGTCAGTCATCTAAGGTCCGACTTTGACGTTTGGGAAGGTACGTGTTCGAGAGCTCAAAGACGTTGGTTCCATAGGATGAAGTGGTTGGGTGAGTATGTGGATGAACTTGTGCTGCCAGTTGTTTTGTTTTGGAAAGCGCATAAAGCCCACAAAGCTGAAAGACTTGTATAACAAGTCTTTTTGCTGTGTATCTTTTAATTTTTTATTATTATTATTATTTTAAATGAATGAAATAATACATGTACTTAGGAGGCTGATTCTAATTTTGGTTTACCCCTACTTTGTAGCAACAAAGTTGGAAAGATTTGATGTGGCCTTAGTGTTAAGGGAGGTCAGCTGCATCATCTCCCCTTTGCATAAATCTATGAAAAGTTCTGTTTTATATGTATGTTATTTTCATGTTATTATTTCTATTACAAGGCATTTGCCTTATTTTTCTTTTCAATATTAATCATTCTCAGGTCAGAGTACATGACTCCTTAAAACCAGCATGGCTTTGATAACAAAGTGTAATGATTTCAAACAACCAGAGCCAGTGAGCGTTCCATAACCACTGATGAGTCATAAAGTCAAGTCAAGGCCTTAAATCCAGCCTTAAATAAACTGGGAAAATTCCATTAACACCAGTGAAGTTGCTTTATCTTGACCTGGACCTGAAGCCGACTTCACCTCCAACGCCCTTGGCGTTTTTGCTTCTGTTTAATGCTTCTTGGTTTGCTTATGAAGCCATAAATATTGATTTAGCAAAGTCTGCTAAAATCAGTATTTTAAGAATCATAAAAAAGATGAGTCATTCAACAAATAGATATTGTTAGGGTGAGTGTCTATGTACAGAATTAGGTTTTTGTTTCCCTTTAAAAAGCATAATGAAATTAAATATAGCTTAGTTCATGATGTATGTTTTTGGTATTGCTTTATTAAAAATAATTTTCAAGATCAGAGAAAGGGATGGGAGACCTCTATCAATTTTTCCCCAGCTGAATATTTATATGTTTGCAAGTGAAAATATACTTTTAACAGTTATGAATTGTAAAATACTCCTTTTTGCAATTAAGGCTGATATAATGCTGGAGTATTTAAGAAAAAGGCTAGTTATCACTTTAGTAGTGAAATTGAGGGCATCTACTCTAAGCCTTTAAATTGTTTTTCAACCCTTTTAGAGCAAATGTGCTTAACGTCTGTATGTATTATTGAAAAATTTGAATTATTTCATGATTCAAGCCATTACTAACAGCAGACTGAAGATCAGAATAAATTGTTTTTATTCTGGATGACATTACTTTTCAGTAGCCTGACTTCCTTAATCACAGTGAGAATTCAGTCTAACCCTGCGAGTTTCCTACTGGGGATGGCATTTTCCATTCATTCAGAGGAAGAAAAACATTTCCAATAAAAATATTTATAGGAAATAACTGCTTAATACTCCTTGGATCTGGAACATAGAAGGTCAAGATAAAATGACTGGGGCAGCATTAGTATATATTACCAATTCTGTAAATTATCATAATACTGTTTCTATAAATTTGGCATACTTATGGTACAGGAAAATGTTATTAATATATCTCTTACTAATCAAAAAAATCACATTGAGCTATCCTTATGTGAAGTAACCTTATTCCTTGAAAGATAAAAGCAGCTTCTTCAGAGGGACACATTAGCATTTGGTTAGTAAATATGAAAGCAGAGTTAATATGCTTCTGGTCTTAGATATGCTTTTTCCTTGGCCATTTGTATTAACTGCCAGTTTTTGATACTATTGCCAGCATAAACATACACGCTTAAATTTCCTATTTGACATAAAATGCAGGAACTGTTAAGTGTGCTTTCCGCGGCTTTACTTTAACATATAGCCAACGTACATCTTTGTCCTGTTTCTATTACATTTATACACAAAATTGCTTCAGATTATGCATCACTTACCTGCTGTGTAACAGCACTGCTCATGTGCGTCCTCAAATTCAGTAGTTTTCTTTCTTGGCTTCCATACCTTGTTCTTCTGCTTCTCATTTCCATACCTCACGGTGATACCACAGCAGAACTGTTGTGATCGCTTTCCCTGTTGGGATGTTATTCGCATTCTATATTTTTTTATTGCTGAATCTTTCAATAAAGTGTTTCAAGAACTATGTCCTCCAGCTCTGAGGTATGCCTTTTAATTACACTCTTTCTTATGCTAGCGTATATTTTTAACTAATCACTTCGCTCCACAGTTAGATCATGCAACTTTGGTTTGTGTTGTAGGAGATGTATTTTCTTAGTATTATGAGAAGCCACTACCGTGAAGGAAAAAATACTCATCTGCTGGTGTTAAGATGGCTCCAAAATAATCACATAGACCTGTATTAGCATTTCTCGGAAAAGAAGGAGTAACAGGATAAGAACACTAATGCAATGCTGGCAGTCTCGTTACCCTCGAAGAACCTTTTAGTAACGAGGTCAGAGTTCTGCAGCAACGCTTTCACGCGGAGCGTTGCTCACGTGAGATACCGCCGCTGATGGCTAGCAGCGTTCCTGAGCGTTGCGGGAAGCTTCCAGGAGCGTGAGCCGAGGTGGCTCACGTTCAAACGGGGCGAACTGCAGAAGAAAAAACAAAGCCTGAGTATATATCTGCCATCCTCAACACAGTGACGTAACGTAGACACGTGTACAGACAGGGTCTGCTTTGTGTAAGAGAAGTGAATACCGTACGACTAGTGAATGCTCAGTTACTGGAGGAGCGTTAGACCTATTGAAGCTAAACCAGAAGCTCACATCGCAGAGCCGCTCCGCGTCTTACCGAGGGCAGCGCCAGACGCTGCAGGATTTCCGTTTGAGACTTTCCCTCTTTCCCCTTTGAGACCCCCTTCTCCCCCAGAAAACCAGCAGAAGCTGAGAACTGCAGGGCTAATCCAGCAGCATGAGGCACAAGTAAAACATTGGTAGTTGTCTCCGAGGTACGGCAGGACCCTCGTTAGCAGCGCGAGAGCAGGGGCGCCCAGAGGGTCGGTGCAGCCCGCGGATGCGCTGTGCGCGGAGCGCGACCTTCTCCAGCGCCAGCGGGCCGGTTTTAGAGCTCTCCTGGGTGTTGCTGCCCCTGCAGCTGGGCTGGGGGCGAACTGAGCCGTTGTGCTTTCCCTGTAGGCAGCAGCTGCAGAGGAGTGGATAGCTCTGCCCGCTCTGTTCCTCTCCCAGCGTTGCCTGCGGGTTGCACTTGCGACGAAGGATTAATAACCTCTTCTGAAGTTCATGAGACAAAAAGCTACTGTCCTGCCTCACTTCTCAGGTCACCGGTTTAATACATGTTCATGGTCTAACCCCGAATAAGAAGCTGTTTGAGTATGATAATGTTAATGGCCAGGTTGTGGTGCAATGACTTTCCAGCAAGTCATAGTAATATAATAATCTCAGTACACTAGAAACAGAGATATTAAGTAAGAAACTAATTTTCATCTATAAACTGAGGGAATGAAGTGGACAGACGTTTTTCATCATTAATTTTTCTGCATTGGTGTCTGAATCACTGAAATACTTAAAAGACATGATGTGCAACAGACATGGCTTTGTCTGTAATGGATTGATTTAGCAGCCCGGGCTAATGTGACTTTTGTCATCAATAAAAACTACTTGTGATGTAATTGCATTACAAAATTCAACCTTTTGCTAGGTAACGTTTCGTATGTATTTTGAAGAATCAAATTTATTGTGACTTCCATATGGTAAGATGATGCTGAGAAATGTTTTGTGACAACCACGTAGAGAAGAACCGCTAACTTCACAGACTGTACTTAAATGTAAAGAATTTCTTTTACTGAATAGGCAGTTTTATTAAAGTGCACTAGGGCAAAAATAATATTCTGTCCTGTGATATGAATTTTATCTATACTGTGCTTATTTCTTTCTCCTGTCTGTATCTTTCTTTCTTTCTTAGTAATTTGCATCCTTGAGCGTAGCAGACAAATGAGGGATTAGCTACGAGGCAGAAAAACTTGTGTGTTTGACCTGTTACTTCCATTCTGACACAGATCGGTAGAGACTGACTGCGTGAAACAAATTTAAGTTTGAATTCCCCGGGGAGCTGGCGTCTTTCGTCAGAAACACGCTTTGGGAGACACTGAGAAAACATTAGGAAAAATATAAATTTATCATTGTATGAAACAGTACTACTGTTTTGAATGAAATGCGTAAGATAAGTACAGTCCTACGTTCTTGCATCATACCGCTGGGTGATTTTTTTTGTTTATCTTTTATCTTTGTTTTGTCATGGAAAGAAAACAAAAAGCAGCATGTCATTTACGGAGGACACTGGAGTGCATATCGCAGGCTAAATTACGTGACAGAGCTACCAAGGTAAAATTAGTTTATTTGTTCAAATACTGTTTTAAATACTAATGTAGGAATTGGAAATGGTTTGCTTGTCTGAAGAGACATCCGATTCCTCAGCGGAATTGGCTTCACCTAAGCCTGACTGTGCAAACGGTGGATGTCTCAGCCGTCGAGGCTCTCGGCAGTCAGTGGAGAGAGACGGAGACCGGCGCGGCGGGGGTGATTCGGTCCCTGTCGCGGGGTGTTTAAGGTCAGGCAGAAAGCATTGCCTTTGCATCCTGTGCTTGTCCCTCCCTGCTGGTCAAGGGGGCAGCAGGGCACCTCGGTGCCCGTGCGACTCGCACTGGTGGCTCTAAAACTAGGTGAGACAAACACCACTTTAACAGCTCAAATGTAATAAAGTGTGTCAAAGTTGTTGAAAAATGTAACCAGTTTTGTACGTTTCTTAATATGTCAGACCTGTAATAGTGCTTAAAATGGCACTTTGGCAGTGACTCCATCAGATGCTATGTGCATATCAAATAATATGTTCAACCTTTCATGGATCTTACTGACAGACCGCTGAAATGCTGCAAGCTGAGGAAACTGGGTATTTCAGGTTCTGCAAACTGTTGTCATTCTTCTCCAAATAACTGTAGGCTGTCTGCTTAGATCTGGTTCACAGACGTGAGATAAAAACATTAACATCTGATGCTGTTCTGTAGCATGTGCAAAATGGTCTAATTTTCAGTTAGCAAATATTGTCCTCATGAAATACCCTACGTGATGTCGTTCCTTTGGCATCTTTGTTGACGGTCTCGGATAAAGGACCAAAACTGCAATAGGTAAACGGTAAACGCTTCTTGCCCTAAGTTGGAAACTCTAGGTCAGAGAACAATCATTCGCATGACAAAGGAATGAACAGCTACTATATATCTTGCAAATAAATAAAATATGTCAGTCACAGCCAAGCAAACTTCACATACATTGCATTTGCTTAAAAATTTGAGAATCTCCTAAGATCTGGCCTTGAGGCACTATGTGTTTGTTCACACTGTTAAGGGAAAGGTGCCCTTGTCACAAACTGCAGAAGAATGCATCTTGGTGTAACAGATGATGAGTGAAGGGCTGGTTAGTCTAAGAGCTGGGATTTATTCCAGGAGCACAGAGGTGTGGGGTTGGAACAAGAATTCATCCAGCCATGTAAATGTTGACAACTCCTAGAGTTTTGAAGAAAGAGGTAGCAGTTCTTTCCAAAAGAAAAAAAGAAGAGCATCCCCTGCTTTAAGTCATAGAATAAGTATATACTTACTATGGGATGTTGCGTTCTGTATTAGTCCCTCAAGGCTTCATTTTTATTAGTGTAGTGGCATTTTAATTAGAATAAATTCTATTTTGTTAACAGGTCTTATATATGAATGATTTTAAAGAAGTTCCTCGTTTATGTCTTGGAAGAGAAAGACAGCCAATTACCTCTACTTTGCCCATATTGCAAAAAAAAGGGGAAAAGATTAACATCAAGCAAGAAAGATCTCCATGGAGGAAGGGTTAGTCATAATTCTTTCATAATACACAGTAAAATAAAAAAATCAGTAACCATAAATAAGATGAAACTTTTAGTATGAAGTCAAGAGGTGTTGTCATCCGTATTAGCCAGGTATGATACTTATTATTAAACTTATCCAGAACTAGTGAGTGCCTCGTGGATAGAAATAAAGGAGCAAATCTGTAAAAGCCCCTGGTTCCTGGCTTCCAGTCCTTCCTGGGAGAGCTGTCATGCTCCCTGTTACTGAAACGGCTTGCTATGTTCCTGAGCCTACCAGCCTTGTCACGTGTGGAAATCCATCTACAGGTGCTTTGAGTGCTGACAAACACAAGCTTTGACGTTGGAGCAGACATTTGGGCATCTGGTTCTAGTAGAAGTTTAGCTATTTCTAAGATAAAATGTAGTGAAAACATTGCTTTTTGCCCATATTAGGAAAAATAAAATGCAGTAAGTTCGGAGTGCCTGTGCTGTTTCCATAACGCAGCTGAGGACTTTCCCTGCAGCCAGGGCTAGGGCAAAGCTGATGAACTCCCCTCCAGTGATCACTCTGTGCCAGAGAGCTTGGCAATAGGACAGAGACTTCTAGTCAATCTCTGCTCTGTTTTCAATGTTGCCCTCTTCTGGTATGAAGAAATAAACTACTTGATTTGTAAGAGTAAAGTAAAGCCCCAGGGAAATGGCAGAAGTAGACTGAGACAAGGAGTCTGTTAACATGAGGCTGAAGGAGAAAAGGGCTGGGATATGATTAAGAAACAGAGAAGGTATCTTAACTTTTCCTTTTTAGCAAAGACTTGGCAAGATGCAGGCCATCTGCCTTTGATTACACTCCCACTCAAGGAATACGGAGCAAGGAGCGTAGCACAGTGTCCGAAGTCTCCATGGGTAGCCACGGAAGTTTCAGTACGTAATTGCCAGCATCTCAGCTGTGAAATATTTTTCTGTTTTGCTAACGCAAATTCTATGTTTAGGCATGCTGTACCTGTTTGACAAAGACTTCTCTCCAGAAATATTCCCACCCTTAATGACTTTGTAGAATTCTTTTCCAGCCCTTCACTCATACTCATCTATGACTAGTTTAGACTAGAAGGAGAATTTGTTTTGGAGGTGATTAGACTGATTGTTTCTAGGAATTATGTTCTTTGATATTCTTTTATGTTATGTTAATGAATAGGAAAACATTTGGAAACAAATATGGCAATTGTGCTGATGCTTATAAAACATACAGCACTAGTTAAACAAACGTTGAAAAGGTGATAATGATTATCCTTTCAGTTGCATAAAAAATGACTTTCTAATTGTGTTTAGTTCATCTTAATACCCACCCTGCATATTCATGCTTGATGTGTGTCATACCATGCATCATTTTTCAAGATAATATAAAAATGTCATTAGATTTGAGGGAAATGAACTTGTGAAACTACAGGAACCTGAGAACTCTGGAAATGTAATATTCATAGTAGTGTCTTGTTGTTGGACAAAATCTTAATTTGTCATAGATATTCAGGCTATCTAATCCAGCTGATGTTGGAGGAATCAATGATGCTCAGTCTAAACGTGGGGGAGGCCGAGCTTTGCTGACATGGGGTGGCTTTCTGCTTCAGCAATGTAGCGCGATCCCAAGGATAACATTTGGAATTACAATTTTCCTTCCAGAGTAAGAGAACATCCCAGCAAAGGACTGTTGTACTGAGGATGGAAAGTGAAGTTTTTGTGAAACATGAGAGACAAACTAGATCTGTGTTGTTTTCCGCAAAGATTAGATAGTCATGCTATCACTGACATGGCCGAATGTGCTCTTTTCAAATGAAATTTCATGTTTTCTTTCCATTTCTGCTGAGTGAGAAGTCTTTCCCTTGGATTGTTTTCATTCCCCTATTACATGATGACAAACAGAAAATCGATCCTTTAAAATGCAAAATTTGGTATTTACTATTTATTTCTTTTCAGTTGCTCTGCATCTGACTGGTTTCAGCTGTTTGGAAATCAGACAATGTATTTTTCAAGATTGTAGCTGGCAGCCAGTAAGACTACAGCTGCAGTGTGGTCTCCTTTAAACAGTATGAGCAGAACAAATGAGAGTTTGTTCCTGCAAAACTACTGCGTATTGGCTTACCCTGTTTTGCTTGCAGTAGCAAAATATCTGTGAGTTTTACTGGAATGAAGGAGAAAGTAGAATTGATCTGTAAGTGTGTAAGAAATATCTTCCTTGACTGTAGCTATTCAGTAAAACCTGGAAAAAAAGGAAGACAAATCCGTCAAAGACTGTTAAGCACAAAGTTACTCTGGTTCAGGCAGTCTTAAGACCCAGATGGCTGTAAGAGAGGAGTCATACTGGGGGAAGTGCTCTTTATGCCCTCTTAATATTCTCTGCCTTGTGTGTCTGCCACTAGATGTTATAGATAGCAGCCTTTGATCCATAATATTAAACAATAAAAAATTGTTTAATAATAAATGAAAAAATAAATAATAAAGTAATGATAAACGATGATTTTTAACAATAAAATCAATTATTAAACAATAAAAAGCCTTTAATTCAAAGAAGCAAATCAGCAAAAAAGTCTACTACTAGGTCCGTAGGTGCTAGGCAGAGCTGGAAGGACTGTGTAAAATGATACCTCAAAGCCCTGAATTTCAATGTAGAATCATGAGGTAAATTCAGATGGCTTTGCTACTTTTTAAAGTATTCATTTCTGTTATTTCCAGTGAGATTTGGTAATGTTGTTTCACTCCTCTTTAAGTCATTTTTATTGGTGACATAAAAAGATCCTTGAAAAATTAAGAAATAATTACCTTACACCTTTGCCGCTGGAACACGTGCTCTTCCCAGAGCTGTCACAGTACATATTTTTTAATTTGCGCCGTATAGACAATTCCTGTCACAAAATAATTTTACCAATTTGAAAGTATAGGATCAATGTTATTAATGAGAAAAGTTACTATCCATAATACTTACTTAAATGCCTCCAGAAAAGGTATTGTGGGAATTTAATTAATTACTATGAAAGAAGTAGCCCAACTTTCCCATTCTTATTGTGCTGAAATATTTAGGAGACTCACAGAAGTCTGTTCAGAAAGTCTGTGACTGACTGGTGTCAAGTCGTTTCTGCTTTCTGAGAACAACTCACTTGAGCAATTAAATCTGGCAAGGGATGTCAAGGACAACAAGAAGACCTTCTTCAAATACATCAATAGCAAAAGGAAGACTAGGGAAAACGTGGGCCCGCTGCTGAATGGGGCGGGTGCCCTGGTAACAAAGGATACAGAGAAGGCAGAGTTATTGAATGC